ACGGTGGACTTGGTAACTGGTGAGCCTTCGAACGCTGCTAGTGGCTACACGTGTCCTGTGTTTCCAGCGCTGTCTGTTGGAGAGAAGTCTCGTAAGGGGATCCATTAGCGAAACTGAACTTTCAAAACAAGTGAACAAAAGCTGTGCGTGACGTCACAGTGCCTTGATCAATGAAACGTGAAGCCTGATCATCAAATACCGACTCCATTCTTCAGTAATGAGAGATTTTCTCGGCATGCTAATTCGATTTTGCTCCTGCGAGTTCCTGAGGCACATATCGGGTTACGCGTGGAATAGACAGAGGAGATCAGGTAGCAGCGAACGGCGAGATTCTGCCTGGATCTCATTTTGAAATAATTGTTTCTCTATTGTTTTATTCGTTTCTTCTTTTCATTTTCACGTCGTTTCGCTCTCCCTTTGTTCCGATCCGTCAAACCCATTTTAAACCCGCGGGTTGATGTGACAGGAGAAGCCATTGCTAGAACGCGAATCCTCTGTCCAGCCGGATGCAGGGCATTAATGCACCGGGCATTTTATTACAATTGGATGCCACAGCAGTTGATGTATAATTTTTAGGCAGAGTGTTTCCTATCATTGTCCATTACAAATGTGGGCACTTTGTGCACGAAGTGTCCTACAGGAGATACATTGTCGCTCGATTTTGTTCCTTACTGAAATTTCTGTTTTACTTACTTCAGTTTTATCATCTGGAATTCCAGCCATGCCTTGTGTGTTGCAGTGCAGCGGCAGTACGCGCTGTTTCTCGACGTCTGCCGCGCCGCGACGCTCCAACGAGTCGCAGTGCCCGATCCTCCACCAGCACGGCGCCAGGCAGGGGGGTGTCGCCAAGTTGACGCGGAGCAAAGCCAGCAGCCAGTCCTCGGCTGCGCCCTGTTTGACTCTGTCCCACCACAAGAAGCTGAGGTTCGCCCTGGCCAAGGAGCGCAAGGCCTCCACCACTCTGGGCATCATCATGAGCGCCTTCACCATCTGCTGGCTGCCCTTCTTCGTCCTGGCGCTGGTCCGGCCCTTCCTGAGTAGCGACCCGTCCCCCATCCCCCCGTCTCTCTCCAGCCTCTTCCTCTGGCTGGGCTACGCCAATTCCCTCCTCAACCCCATCATCTACGCCACCCTGAACAGGGACTTCCGGAAACCGTTCCAGCAGATTCTCTTCTTCCGGTGCGGGTCGCTGAACCACATGATGCGAGAGGAGTTCTACCAGTCGCAGTACGGAGACCCGGAGCATCACTACTCCGTCATCAACAGCAGTCATCAGTACCAGGTAGCTCGGGAGGACGACGTGGAAGAAACTGCACCGGGGCTTGAACCCGAGCGCACCGCCTCTGGCGCCTCGCCGGCCGCCGACGAGTCCTTCCTGTGATAGACACTTCCGCCGGCGAGTTTCCGAAACTTTCTGACCCCCGCTGTCACCGGTTCTCTTCGTTTCTGAAATCTCTACAAACTGCCCTTGAAATTACCTCCTTATCAGGCGTTCTTCTCGCTCTAGCATGTCCGTCCGTCCGTCGCGTTGTTGCGCACCAACAGGTGCAACAACGACCTAAGTGATGTGACGCGAAGGGCGCCTTCAGAATACCAGTGTACTCCAGAGAGTGCACTTTTCCGGTCTTGTTGTGTTGTGCACCGTTGCACCAGGGAAGTCTTTAAATGCAGAGAAGTTTTTGTTACCATGGAAACCGAATTATTGTGTTAAAAATAATTATGACGTCACATTTCGCCGTCTGCCGCCTTAACGTTACCACTAAATTTTAATACGTACGTAATAAATACATTGTAAGTGAGGCATTCGCGTTGATAATTTGCGAGCAACTCAGATAAGAAATCAGACGCTTAACAATGTTTATTTGTGGAACGTAATGCAAAATTTGAAGGTTTTCGTTTCACTTTTCGCCGTACTGACCCAACGAAACAAAATAAATGAAAGGAGAGATACCCAAAGAAAGTTTATATGTATATAACTCCAGCCATGATTTACTTAACAGCAGAACTCCAAGTCGAAATAGGCAGACATGTGACGTCAGTACTGGGCTTGTGTATTTACTGGCTAAGGAGGAAAGGGTTAACAAAACACTGTTCGTACGCTCAGCGCTCTAGCTGAGAGAACGTAAGTTTTACGCGGCGAGCTGAGGTCACAAGTGCGAGGGGTCAGACCGAGCTGAAAAACGAATTTTAAGGAAACGTCCTCCGGGTTTCCCGGAACATAGCAGAGTGCTGCCGCCTTACCCTAAATACAAAAGGGCGATCAGATTTCGTCTGGTGCAGCGAGAATCACGAACAGACTTGGACCGCATTTCGGTCTAAAGTGGGGCCTGATGTTGGTGGGCCGTTCTCTTCTAGAGCTTTCCTCAGGTAAAATTACTTTCTGAATGGCCTACGCTTCGTGGCGTTTAGGGCAACGCCGCTGTCTTGAGTCAGTTTCCTTTACTCTCTGCTGAAGAAACGTCACAGATAGTGAAAGGATGAAGTGTCCGTGGTTTATATCGCAAGACTGTACCAAGGAACATTTAAATGAACATTTTATACTTAAATGTGTCAGTGAGTAATGGCGTCTGGTGATTGGATCCGTCATTGCATTTGCGAAACGAGTTGTTTATTATTTTAATTTTCTCGGCCTCCAGTTACCTAATGTCAGCTTAATTTAAATATCAGTATTATTTGTTCGTTTAGTTGCAAGCAGCTTCAGTGAAGACAAACCTCTCAATACGTTTTGTTAGCCGACATTTTACGCGTGCTTACACCCAAACCGTCCCAGTTTTTGGTGTCATGATAGGGCCCTTTTTAAGCGGAGGGCAGGCCTGTGGATTAGGCGTGGGGGCCAGCAGTCATCAACTGCACCTACTCGCAAAATGCCGGTGTTATCGGCGCTGTTTGCGTGTCGTATCGACCCACTTCCATTCGCGCACTAGCCGCCACTGCTCCGCCGCCCACAGGATCCTTTGATACAGTAACCCGGGTATGATCAGTGTATGTGTTAACGATATTTTACCGTGTTATCTGCCATCTTGTGTTCTATGGTCGCCCAGTGATTAATGACCGCGTACATAAGTTCGGATGGAGAGGGAATTTCAAGTTTGATGAAGGGAAATAAACTGTCAAACAAGTAACTGGCGACACTGTATACCGATAAGCGTGCGGGTTGCATTGACAGGCGAAGTTCGCTGTGACGGGAAATCCATTCACAGTTCCCATCCAGCGCTGTAACTGCGTTACAAATACAGAAGTAGAGGGATATTATGTGCTGGCTGTTAGACACGGCGCTGCGTAGTTGAATTATCCTTCGGCAGAATTTGTTGTTGTTAGG